AAAATATAGTTTGGTTTTTTTTAAAAAAAAACTGCATTGGAATCTACACGTAAACTGTATTTCTTTTTGGCTTCCTCTTGAAGGGGTTTCAGCAAACCCATATATTTTTCTGTGGAAAAAAACAAAATTAAAAAGTGACTTGAATTCCACTGAAATCCACTCAGAGAAGAGCATGGTAAGGGCTTGACCAGACTTACGGTGGAGACCACTCTAAGATTGATTTTACTACATGTGTTTAGTTTTCAAGCAGCACTGATCATGAACCTGTTATACAGACTGCAAAGGAAATATTTTAAAGCACAGTAGATGAAGTAGAAGTGTTTTACTAAGTGATTGTGTTTCCATGGAACTGACACCCTAGCTTTACTTTGCTCAAGCTGGATGGTTGCTACATGATCATACTCATTGAGAAGAGACCAGAAATAGCTGGTAATGAAGAAACTGATATGAAGGAAAATCTCTTTTTCTTCACCTGATAACTGGAGAGTTTGTATCTTTCCAAACTCATTGTTTCAGAGATACATCAAATTGAAACAGCCTAGTGCCTTAAAATGCTGTCCGGGTTATTTTAGCATTTTATGACTGAACATAACTCTATGATACTCTTTTCCAAAGAAGGAGAAAAAAAGGCTTTTGGTGGTCCTATTAATAGAAGGATGATAATTTAACCTGGGAGGAAAGATGTAATGTGAGGATATTGGTTGTTGTTATAGGCAACTGTTACTCATTCCCCACAATTTCAGATAAAGCAGATTCTTCGAGGGAGAGCTTGCTGTAGGGGAGCTGATCAGCTGCTGCCTTCTGGGTTTCCTAGCCTGGCTGCAGACACAGCTTTTGTAGTGCCATTTGCTTAGATGTAACATGCAGGATTATAACATTTTCTTACCCTTGCAGAGGTCTGGCCACACTTTTCTGACTACCACCAGGAACAGTTCCTTCCCACTGCTAGCTCATTTCCTTTACTCTTCGGAATTCCATGTCGGGGAACTTAATCTCTTCTCCAGTTCTGCAGTTCTCTGGAGTAAATTTCAGTGCTAACTGACCAATGAATGTCTCTAAGCAGATGTTAATACTAAATTAGTAGTTTTAACTAGAACAGCATTGTTACTCTTGACTGCCATAGCTCTGCCCATTTGCCTTTTGCCTCTGATGTCCATGTGGGAATGTTGTGGAGCTTTGACAGAGGTTGAAGATATTCAAGTACCCTCATTGCCCTGTGTTGATGTTCACTGTACATAGCAAATTGAGGCAAGAGGACCCCTGAAATTAGGATAGCTTTCAAGCTGCTTGCGGTACATTTTGCAGTGCATAGTTCATAAGGGCTTTTTAACAAAGATTTCTCATCAGCACAATATTCTTGCATGTTAGATGTTTTATAGGACAGTCTTTGCATCTGCTGTGGGCAATAAATAAAATAGTTTTCCCATAAGAAGATAGTTTCCCGATAAATATGCTTATGAATGTTTTAACTCCTTACTACTACTCAGAAACATCATGTGCTCTCCTAACTCTGTCTTTGATTGTGCGTGTTCATCTGTGAACATCAAAGAGCCCACACTGTTATTCTTCCTCAACCAGCTGTTGGCTCCATTATGCCAAATTCTGGTTTCCATAGAATAGACTGAAGTCATTCTTTTGATGATAAATGGATCAAAATTTGCTTCATCACCTCACTGACTCTTTGAAGGGATTTTGCATGTGGAGAAAAAAACCAGACTTTTCCTAGAAGTTGTTTCGACAAACTACCTTGACATAAAGTGAAAGATCTCTGTGCCCACCGTTCAGATTTCCCTAGACAATAAAGAGGGATATGGTCCAGGTTGGACAGTGGAGAAAGCCACATTTAAGGTGATGACCTGCATGTTCTCAGAGATGTAAGAACACTTGGGTAGCAACTGAAACAAAGAGATGGAATAGAAAAATGCTGGAATAGAAGAACTTTTGCCTGATCTGATCTCAGGTGGACAAGGTGGGACATGGTGTGGTAGATTAGACCCACAAACACACGATGGTGTTTAATAAATTCTAGTGGAAGGAAAGTGAGAGATGATTTATCATCACATAAAGTAAATGGATGGTGCACTGAGGTATATCAGTAGGAGTACTGAGTCACAGCTCATCATCTGGAAAACTGGAAATTTTCAGTACAACCCAGTAGTTTCTGTATATATTTTGGGAGCAAGGGGACAGTGACAAGTAACACTTTTTGGAGTACATTATAAGACAAGTGGGTTTTATCTTCTGGATGTTTCCATCCTGTAAGTTTTCCTGTCAGATTTGGGAGAAAAATATTTTACTTGGCTTTCAGTTTGTCTCTGAATCATTGGTACAATGGAATTTATTCTTCCCAAACCTGAATTGCTGAAGAAAAAAAGGCAGAGCCGTTTGGGAGGTGGGTGGGAAAGAGGAGAGGAGGGGAAAGAAAGTCTGTGCATAACTGATTTAATCTTCTGCATCTCACACACTCAAGGCAAATATGATAGTGTCTGATTAATAGTCATTGTGAAGTGACCAAATGCTGGTTTTCTTGGTTTGAAAATCAGAATTAAGAGAGCATTTCTCCTGTGATGGGCTGGATTGAATAGCAGTGTTGTGTAAGACCTGAAAAGAGCAATGACTTTTTTGGTAAAGGGAAGGTCCTGTGCAGTGGACATGCTTCAGTGAAAAAGACAAGAACTTTCTGCTAGAATTTAATACATTTTTAAGAGTTATAGGAAAGACACCTGTAGACAAAGCAATGCATTTATGGAGGGCTTAGTGGAAAATGAATTCTTCTAGTCTAGACTTGAGGCATGTCAGTGGTTTCTGTTGCTGATATACTCTTTGAAAAGACACAGTCAGATAAACTAGTCCTTGAAGCCATTGGCAGACCTTACTGTAGGTAACTATGGAATTTCAGTGTGATATTTACTGGTTGGTAACTCTTGATATCTGCTAGTTACACTAGCAGAATTTAGTTGAGGGGGTAACACTGGAAAACCTAACATTTTTTTAATGTATCTCATGCACTATAAGCTCAAAGAGAAAGGGGATAAACATTCAGTCTAGAGGTAAAATATTCTTTATTACTTATCAGCTGTAAAAGCTTGTTCTGTATGTTTAAAAAGTGCCTTTACAAGCAGAGTTACAGCACACAAATTTTCAATGTTCACACTGTCTCCTGAATCATTGCACCAGTGTGCCACTAGGTTGTTACGTTTTGAAGGGAAAGACCAGAACCATTTTCTTGCTTGGAGTAGAGTTAAAAAGCTTTTTCTAAATGCCTGTATCAATTTTTACCCTCATCTTTATGGGTTCCTTTATATCTTTGTGTAAGCTATATTTGATTTTGACATTTTTACATTTATGAATAGCTGCTGTTTATTAATTTTGTGAAATTGAATTGTTCAAGCTTCTTTCAGATAAGTACCTGTCTATGTTGCTATTAAAAAATGTGTGTTATACTTTCTACTTCTACAGATTTCTGGTTTACTACTCATTAAATATTCAGGTAGTCTGGTGTCTCACTTATGAGACGTAAGAAGAGGAACTGAAAATAGCCTTAATTCTGTGGAAGGCTAAACAAAGACAAGCCATTTTATTTTTGTAGCTTACATCTTGATATGACTAGACTACGCCGTGATATCATAGTTTGTAACATGACAGTATGGATTTCTGGCTTGCCTTGAAAAGGCTGGGTCCCAAAATACAGAATTAGAATAAAACATTTCGGAAAGGTAAAGATTTTCTTTAACAAAGTGGGATCTATTGCTGTGAAAAGAAGGAATGCAATATGTTTTTATTATACAAATTTGAAAATGGTATCGGTGTGACGCTGCATCAATTCACCCAACTCCTCCCAACCCTCTTTTAACTTGGCTGGACTACTGGGTTGTGCTAGAGCACACTTTTAATGTCAGTATCACTCATTTGAACAAAAAGATACAAACTCAATACTTTAAATACAAACTCAATAATTTAAATACAGGTTTCCAAGATGTAAATACATCAAGCAAAATACAGAGAATGAGAGAAGTGTTCATAAGGAATGGGCTGTTCTTCCATCAGTACGAGAGCCAGGAAAGCATGTACACAACCTCAAGTTTAGCTGCAGCTTTAGTTACAACACAGACATTTCCCTAACACTTGTAGGTATTTACCTGCCGCTTTCCTCAAAATTTTTTAAGCATCGCAAACCAAATTTTTAAGAGCCGACCGCCTCCAGCTTAGGACACCTCTCACCGTCATCTGTCAGAGACCCATCAACGACTGGGCTTCCAGCACGTTCCTGAGCATGTAAATTATTTGTAGCGGCCAAGACTCCTCGGTCGCTTGGGCGTCAGCGCAGGGGAGGCACTCGGAGCTCCTCAAGCGCCTGGCAGCCGCCTCCCCGCCGGAGGGGCGGTGAACATCCCCGAGAGAGCGCAGGTGGGACGCGGCCGCGGTGCGGCAGCGCGGCCCGCGGGGGCACCGCCGCCACCTCCTTCCCCCGCACAGCCCGAACCGGAGCCTGAACCCGCACCCGCGGGCGGTTCTGCGGGAGCCGCAGAGCCCCGCGCCGGCGGAGGCCGCTGCGGTGAGCGGGGCCGGGGCGTGGGCGGTGCGGGGGCGGGCGGCTGCGGAGGGACGGGGCGCGGACAGGTGGGCTCTGCGGGGGCGGGCCGGCCGTGGGCAGGCGGCTCTGGCGCGGATGCCGAGCGGCGCTGCCTCCCCCCCCGCAACAGCGCTGTCCCCCCGCACGGCGCCGGCGGGAGCCCCGGCCCCGCGATAAAAAGGGAAGGAGGGGGACACCGGAGGTGCGCGCTGCGGGTCTCGCCCGGGCGCCGTGCCGGCTAGAACGTGCCTGGAAGGGATGGATGGAGGCAGGAAAAGCCGGAGAAGGAGCGAGGAGGCTGTGCCAAGCGATGAGCCGCCTCCCCTCCCTCCCTCGCTCGCTCCCGCCCGCCCTCCCGCAGGAATCCCGGGCGGGCGGGCGGCGCGGCGGCACCCGGGACGCGCGGCGGCGGGAGGAAGGAAGGAAGGGAGGGAGGGAGCGGGAGAGCGGCGCTGGCGAGGAGGAGCCGCCGCCTCATCCTGCGGCACCGGCCCGGCGAGCGCAGGTGGGTGAGGTGGGTGGGCAGCGCCCGCCGCGGGTTCGGCGGTGACCCCCCGCCTCCGGCGCCGTCCCGGCGGGAGGCATCGTCTCCTGGCGTGCCTGTGGTTGGGATTTGGGGGGTGTCGCGGTGAGCGGCTCCGTGGGGCGGTGGGCGTGAGTGCGAGGGGCTCAGGGATGTCTCGGGGTTCCGTGGGGCGGCTGCCGCGGGAGGCGGCGGAGGGTGCCCGTGGATGGAGGTAGCGGGGCGGCTCCCAGCGCACCTGAGCCGGGCTGGGATGGTGGCGGGATCTCGGGGGGCTCCCGCGGCCGTGGGGAGCTTTCCCGTCCGGGAGTGGCCGGCAGAGGCGGCGGCGTGGGAAGGCGAGAGGGTTACCTGCATGTGTGTGCTTCGGGACGCGGGCAGCCTCGCCGGCGCTCGGGAATTTTATTTATCTGTCATTTTTTTTTTTGTTAAGACCAACTTGTTCTTGGGAGATCGCCTTTGATTTCGGTTTCCGCTCCAGTCTGAGATTTCTGGTCGAGGCTGCGATTGCCGTAGGGGAGCGCAGGGGTGCGGGTGCCCGGAGTCAGCCGTGCGCCCGCCGCGGCGCGGGGGGATGAGTTTGTTCCTGCCCGCTGGTGACTTGGGAGCGTTTTTCCAGGGACACGCATAGTGGGAGCATTCGGGCGCCTTTTCCTAGGGTGGCACGAGCAATTCTTAACTAGAAGAAAGGAGAAGGCATGTGCGTGCAAAAGCCGGTTTTTCCCCCAGAGCTTGTACTCCGAAACTTCGCTGTTCGGTGAAACCCCTTTTCTGAACACCAGGAAGCTTTGGTTTTTCCAGGAAGGCTTGAATTTTCTATTTTCTCATGCTTTCGGAAAAGGATTAACGTGAGGGCTCTGGGTACCGCGTGCTTAGGTGTTATTTTGATGTAAATGGTTAATATGTCAGAATCGGTGGCATAGTGTGCAAAGTGCAGTAAACCTGGAATAAATCGAGTGGTTTTCATTGTATAAAAAAGTTCATCACTTCTAGTTGGAGATGTCTTCCAAATACAAGCAATTTTTTAATTGTATGCATTTCTATATAACCTATATAAGGTAACTAAGCTGAGCATGGAAATTATTTCTGTAAAACTATGTTCATATTTCAGATGGAAGACCAAATCAGGTTTTTTGTATTTACCAAGTAATTAAGTGCACATATTTTCACATTGCCACTTCAAAAGTCACCTTGCTCTATCAAGGTTGTGATCTGTCCACTAAGCAACAAGGATAACATAAAAATCTGTTAAGCCCATAGCTGTCTTTGAGAGTTTTAAATGCCTTCTTGGTTTAAATTGAGTTGGGATTGTTTGTTTGGTTGTTTTTTTTATTTCTTTCTTCTTCAAACGTATTAGAGAGAAAAATATAAATAACTCAGTTTGAGTATCTTAATGCACCTTTTACAAAGGAGGTGCTTTAGAATGTTTGTATAGAAAAACAAGTGAGCTGAAACATTGTGCTAAGGGGATTTGCAGCATAAAATATGGCTAATTTCTCTTGTGTGACTACAGGTGGCAGTGTAGAAGCCAAGAACAAAAATTGGCAGAAATTGTATTCTGTGTGCGAGAATATGAAGAGTGTACTCATGACTAAGCACAGAAACCTGGAAAACCACAGGTATGTGAAGTGATTCATACAACTGCCTATGGTGCTCCCAGTATTTACTGTATCCTGATATTCGTGGCTCAATAGGTATTTTTGGACCAATTATCACTTAATGTATTCACAGTAAGAGCCTAATCAGAATGTCATGGAAAAATCTATATTTGATTACTAAAAGGAGCAAAAATACTTTGAAGGCAGTATGTGAGGAGAGGTGGGATTTTCCTACTTTGTTGTATTGTAACTATAAGGAATTGGAGCACTAAATTGCATGAGGGTTCCCCCCCCCTTTACATAAATAGTCTTCGTATTGATAAACCTAAAAGCACTTATAGGCCTAAATATCCTTGAAAAGGAGAAACTTCAGATGCAATAGAAAGGTTTGCATGTCTGGATGTTTTGGATGTCTTACCAGTACTGGTTTTTTTTATGAGCACTGAAGAATTGAAAGCATGAGGATAACTACAAAACCAAGATGTGCTTTCAAATAATTGTCCATTGATGATTTGTATGTCTTTTCAAGGGTTAAATCTTGTAAAATTAAAAAAAAAGTGGCAACAGTGTTTTCAATTAAGAAATAAAAATAAGCAGTATGTAATAGGAGCTCTTGTTTAGTTCTCATATTTCAAAGCAAAGGGAAATAGTGGATTATCTTAATAATTATTTGGTCATTAATTAGCAATATTAGAGTAAGGCAAAGCTTTTCTTGTGTGTTTACATTGGTGTGCACAGCCTGTAGAAATTAGTCCTGGATCTGGATTCCAGGATTCCTGGGAACCTGTGGAGGGTGAGGCAAACTCAGATCTGGAACTTGAGGATTTTTTAGAACTGATGAGTGGGAAGTTACCGTGGCAAGAAGCGTCAAAGTGGAATTAACGCTGTGATCATGAATATATTTATACTCTTGCATTTGGCGGTTCCTATTCTAGTCTAAGAGGGCTTTTTGTCTAAACCCTTAAATTGCTCCTGAGAGGATGTGGTTATATTGCAAATGCCTGCAGATGACCAAGTCAACTCGTGTCAGCTACCCTGCAGTAACTGGCCTTGGGCACAATTTTGGTTATGCCCAGTTGCAGACTAAGTTGCAGAGAGACTGATTGATTTTGCTGTTAGAATGGGGCAAAGACTGCACGTGCCATAGGCATAACCAACCAGCTCTCACTGATAAACTGTTAAATTATAGTAGCTTGGCATCTTGAGATTATGGAATCCAAATAAAAATGATTAATTATTTCTACCCAATGCTTAAAAAATCAACAAGGAATCCATAGTTAGGGTGCAGTTTTGTGGGCACTCAAGCCCTGAAACTGTAAGCACTCTGTAGAGAAGCTGTATCTCTGTTGGGGAATAATAAGACCCTGGTCTCTGACTGGGATTTTTGGTTGTCATCAGAATGCTTTCAAAATAAGGTGTGCCTTGAACAGAATACTCTGAAAAGCTTTCACAATTCTTCAATTGAAAAAAAGTGGCTAGGTGGTCTTCAGGCTGTTGTACAGCAGCAGCCTCTTCTAAACATGTTTTCTTGGCTGTCATTGTTTTTCTTGTCACCTGTTACTTCTGAGTGGGCATCAGCACTATTTTCCACATAGAACAGTAGTTCTTTTATTGTTATATGTCATTGAGCAACAGGGTTAAGCATACCTCAAAAACTTACATCAATATCTCTGATAAAGTCAGCTGAACTGTTTATGTAGTACAGATCAGCATATGCTTATGGCTTTGTTGAACATTATCTTGTGCTAACACATTTAGAACAGAAAATGAAAATGTCATTTGTCATTGGTACAAAATTTTAATGGGGTCTTCCATTTCATCAAGTGTTCAAAATATTAAGTAAGAAAAATGGTAACTAAGCAGTGTGATGCTCGAGAGTTCAATTTACAGACACTTCTCTGTGCTAATTATGAAGTATTGACAAAAATGAATGAAGCTACTTGTTAAAGCGCCTTTTTCACTGTATAGCAGTTGTGTTCACAAGATGATTCATAACATTCAGCAATTTGTGATGAATTTCTCTGCCATTACAAGAGATTACTGAGTATCTAATGTATTTGCACTACACTGGGTTACTTTAAATTAGATTTGATGGTGGAAAGGGAACTAGAACCGCTTTCTATCAACTGAAAAATCAAGCCTTTTTTATTAATCAGTTAATATTGAATTTCTTTTTACTGTATAGTGCAATTTATCCCTTACAATCAAATGCAAATGTTTAATCATCTTGCCTGTAAATACAGCAGTGACAGTGTGTGTGTGGGGAACGTCTCAAGGCTTCTTTTGTGTCGAAAGTTGTGTACATCATAACTAATAAAAGGTAGCAGACTTGATGTAACTGAAAGTAGAATTCACAGTAGGAAATGTAAATTCGGAATCTGAAAGTGTGAGGTCCCATTTTGAATCAGCAGGTCTTGATTATATAGAATGCTCTTTGATTTGGTGAAGGATGTATTTGTAAGTACAGCTCCCATCAACAGCGCAACAGAGGATGCATCTTAGAAAACTGGTTTTGTGCTTCTGTTTTGAACTAAAAGTTGTGTCTGGTTGTGTTCTGTTCTCTTAAGAAAACAGTGTTTAAGGGCTTACACAATCACTTGTTTCATGCTATCATAAAGTGGCTGTAATATGTTGGATGATAAAGTGTGATTGCCTGGCAGTTGTGGGAAATGTCTGTTAATGATACCAGGGTGTTACACAAGAAAAACTAAACTTTCTCACTTCTTTGTACTAGTATAGGATTGTCTTGAAAGTGGTTTGTGGGAACCTGGAGAATGTACTAGACCCATGGATTAAAGATGCTGAATGGAAGGCACAGAAATTATTAAAATTTCACAAAATAAATAAATACTTTAAGCTGTCAGAGACACCAACCAGTCCAGTATTAAAGACAGATTTTTAGAAAACCACTAGAATGGTTTTAGATTTCTAGAAAATCGCTAGAAAACCATTCTCTATCAGGAGGATGAGGATAGTCTGAATCAAAGTCTTTGGAGGGGGAGACAAAGTGAAAATTTCAGGTGGAATACACTGACAGTAACCCTAAAACACAAGGAATGTGTCTGAGACCATTTAGCTTAGAGGCTTTGGCTTCTCAGGCCTAGAGGTTGATATCAGGTCTCTAGTTAGAAAAGAGTAGCATTTACTTACACTCAACAGTATTAATGCAGCTGTTAAACCAAAGGGATAGTTATGACATTGCAAGATGCTCATTGTGGATTAATACAACTGAACTCTTGTGAAAGTCACAACATGTGAAGTGTAAGTGTAAGGAAATTATCCTTAATTAGCAAATGTGTAAAGTAAACCTCCAGGCAGGTATTCCCACTGCTGTCTCTAGGGAGGCTCCCATTGGGCTTCCATGAGAAGTAGGTTCTGATGTTGGAGCACATCAAACCTGTAAAGGAGAAATGACCCTGAAATTACATCCTGTAGATGAAACCTTGCTCTCAGGTGATGGCCAAGTATCCTTTTGCTCTTTGATTCTAGATGACAGAGGGACATCTCCCGCCATGGTGGAGGTGCTAAGTGGAGCGCAACTAACTGGATTTATGGTGCTGGAAGGGAGCATATAGTAACCTTCCAACTACATGCAAAGGTGGCTTACAACAAAAGGAATCTAGACTGTCTTTCAGTGCTGGTGACAAAGGCTACCAAAATAGTGCTGGAAGCAATATATGAGTTGCTAGATAGAAGGTTAAGAATAAAGACCTATGCAGCATCAGTCTGAAGTGCAGTTCCAATAACCTGCACGAGGATGGGCAGAAAGGGCACACAGGTCAAGATGACACATTTTCTGGGGTTGAAGTACATGGGAGAGAAGTTGATGAAGGTCATGTAGAAAACAGTGAAGAACTGTCTGAAAAAATTAGCTCCTGTTTAGACAGGAGCACAGAAGAATAGACAGTCAGACTAAAACAGGAGAGTTTTTATGTAGATGTTAGAAGAGTGGAAGATAAAGTGGAGGGACTGAAAGCTTAATTCTAGTGAGTTATTGACAGTATAGGTGTACCATAGAGAAGGCAGCTAGCAGGACACTGATTAGGGATTCTGTGGAGAACTTGGTAAGAGAAACAGAGTAAAATGCTTGCAGCTGTTGTGGAGAGACTCAGAACAAATGCACATCCCCTAAAAACTGGTTCTCTGACCCTTCAAAAAGTTTTACAGAATAATTAGCATGGTTGAGCAGGCTGCAAGGAACAGAAAAATATTCTGCAAAAACATGTCCAAAAATAAAAAAAAAAGGGAAAAATCATGCAAATTAAACATAAATTATGCAGTAAAACAAGTTAAAGCGTGATCTGTGATTTGTAAAAGGCAGAGAAGCTTGTCATAAATACTCTTTCAAAAACATCAGAAATGGGAAGGCCACTGGTCCCATAGATAACCAAGATCCAAAAGAACTCAAAGAAGATTGCACCTGTAGCTAAAAGCATGAGTGGGATACTCATGTTCATGGTAGCAGTGAAGTTGAAGATGCCAGAGGTGATGCCATTTTTTTTTAAAAAAGGCTTCCAAGAAAGCCTCTGGGAAAGAACAGGATGAGTATGACTGGCATTCATACCAGCCAGTTTTCTGGTAAATACAGAAAGAAAACTAAACTGTTCATGGACAATTTGATATACCAGGAAAAAGTCAGAACAGTCTCACAGGTCTGGTAGAGTTCTTTGAAGACACTGCTGAGGTTGTGAGTAACTGTGATCTAGCTGATGCAGTACACTTGGGTTTCAGAGTCTTCTGAGAACTACTCACCAAAGGTGCTGAGCAAAATGAAACTGCTCTGACATAGGAGGAAATTTTTCTCCTAGACTGATAGCTGGCCAAAAGATGAATAAATGACCTGTTTTCACAGAAGGGATGGACGTCACCAGTAGAGTTGCTCATGGATCTGTGCTAAGTTTAACACCAGTCAGCGTATGCATTAGTGATCTGGAAGAGAGAGTGCAGAATGATTTTAAATTAATGAGGGTAGCATAAGTGAAAGCTAATTATGAAGAACCAAAGAGGGATCTTGTGATGCT